GCGATAAAGTGGAAAAAACTTATAGTGCCGTTGTAGCTGCTGAAATCACCACCCGGATAAATCAAGCTCAAACCACTCAACATGCTGCCAGATCTAACTCTGATCACAACATAAATCAAAGTTTTAGGATACAAGGGGTCAAAGAGGACCCTGAGAAAACAAAAGGAGAAAACCTTGTCCCAACAAATGACGAAGTAAACGAAATACTAGACATAATTGGAGTGAAGCCGAAAATAATAGAACTAAAACGACTGGGAAAATTTGATCGTAATCGAATGAAGCCAAGAACACTGCTGGTAACTGTACCTAGCGAACATGAAGCACGACTAGTACTAGCAAAAAGCCGAGAAAAGCGAGAACAATTGGTCGAAAAAGAGGTCTACCTGCTACCAGCATTGACCAAAGAGAGTGCAATTAAAGAGAACGAAATCCTTAAGAAACGAAGACAACTACTAGATGAAGGCGTTCCTCGCGAAAAGCTGAAAATAAGGAATCTAGAATTGTTCAATGATGGTGTGAAAGTAACTATTGACACTGAAGTTCAGGAACCCCAGCATTGACTAGGATTCCTCAACATTCTGCAACTAAATACTAGAAGCCTAATCAACATAGAGAGAAGAACTAAGCTAGCAAATGCAATTGCAGTTGGAAATTTTAATGTCATATGCTTAAGCGAAACTTGGCTTAACGAGAATATTCAATCATCAGAGCTTTTTCTAAGTGAATATAACATCTATAGATCTGATAGAGCTATTGTGAGTGGTAAAAACTGTCACGGAGGCAGCCTAATAGCTGTCAAGAATAGTCTAATTACCGAGGACTTATCCACCAAACATGACATTCCTGATTCATGTGTGCTATGTAGTATAAAACTTCATCAAACTGAAATGATAATTGGCTCATTCTACAATCCGCCAAAAAACAGTAATTACAGATACAAAGTGCATGAATTTGAACAACTGATCAAAGCCATTCCTAAAAACAAACCGTTTCTCTTATGTGGGGATTTAAATTTCCCAGAAACAAACTGGAACACCCTCACCAGTACTGACGAGGAAGAAAACCAAATACTGCAAATTTTTGAAAATGGACTCTTTAGGCAGGCGATAGATTTCCCAACATGTGTGAAGAACATACTAGACGTAGCCTTCTATCGGAATTGCTATACAAGTGCCGAACAAGATTTTAACGTTTCCAAGATTTATGACTGCTCAGATCACAATGCCATAATGTTGTCTATTGAATGCACGGTATCAGAGCCGAAACCATACTTGGAAAATTTTAGAAGTTTTGGAAATGCCGATTTTGAAGGAATAAACAATTTTATAAACGAGAACCCATTTGAACCAGTATGCCACACAAACATTAACAAAATGCATGAGGAGTACACCCAATATTTGGATGAAATCATTAAGAGTTTTGTGCCTCTCAGAACAAGACATAGGCAATCACTTCCACCTTGGATAACAAGTAGCACTTCAAATTTGATCAAAAAGTTACAAACAAAACGGCAATCATGTACACTCAAACCGACCAACTACAGAAGACAACAAGTTAAACTGTTTGAAAATTTAGTAACTGAATCATCGGAAGTGGACAGGAAAAACTACCAAGAGGAATTGTTTAGAACACGGAACACTAATGTAATTTTTAAACACCTAAAGAACTTGAATAAACATACAAGTCTTCCTAAGTTACTCATAAAAGATGAAGTTGAAAGCACAAATCCAAACGAACAAGTCAACATGCTAAACGACTTCTTTCATTCAGTTTTTAGTAGAAGTTTTAGTATTAGAGATATTCAATTTGGAAATCCCTTAGAAAGTTTTAGTATTAGAGATATTCAATTTGGAAATCCCTTGTTAACGAATTTTGATATATCGAAAAAGACAGTAAGTGAGATTTTATCAACTCTGGACGTAACAAAGTCACGCGGCCCAAATGGGTTGCCACCTAGCTTTTTTCAGAAAACGAACCGCAATATATGCAAACCGATGAACAAAATTTTGAGAAACGTAAAACGCCTACGAAAAATACCTGATTCATGGAAAACAGCTGCAGTTACTCCTGTTCACAAAAAAGGTGACCGAAAATTGGTGAACAACTATCGACCAGTATCGCTATTAAATATTGACAGCAAAGTCCTTGAAAAATGTATATACAAAGACCTGTACCCTTACTTTGCCTGGTATTTGACGAAACATCAACACGGTTTTACTAAAGGTAGATCAGTTTTGACAAACATGCTCTCCTTCCTGAAAGAAATATATGAAGCGCTTGACAATGACTCAAACGCAGAAATTGTAGCAGTCTACACTGACTTTGCAAAAGCCTTTGCTAAAGTTCCGCATTTTGATCTACTCAAGAAAGTTGCACTTATAGGAATAGGAGGCTGCATGTTAGAGGTACTCTATGACTATTTGAAAAACAGGAAACAGTTTGTACGAGTAGACAATATCAGCTCAAAAGTTTTAGAAGTCACTAGTGGTGTTCCCCAAGGATCACTTTTAGGACCACTGCTCTTTTGCATTTTTATTAACGACCTACCTGAAGTACTCAAATTCTCTGAACCATATATTTTTGCGGATGATCTTAAACTACTTTCCATCAAAAAAACATCAATTGAAATTCAAGAAGATCTGGACAAAATTCAGCAGTGGGTAACTGAAAACAAAATGGAATTAGCACTAGATAAATGTGCAAAAGTAAGTTTTAGGGGCGGAGACGCCAACTCTATGCTTTTTGGTGTAGTGCTTGGAACATCGATGGTTGTGAAAGATCTGGGAATTTTTGTGTCGGGCGATTTAAGTTGGAAGGTACACATTGAAACAAGATTAAAGAAGGCAAACCAAGTACTGTACCTCCTGAGAAGAAACCTATCAGCAAAGATAAATACGTTTGTAAAGTTAGGCCTGTATAAGTCACTAATACTCCCAGTGTTATTATACGGACTCTCATGTACACATATATCGAGGGGGGATCAATTGCAGTTGGAGCGATTTCAAAAGAAAGCAATCCGGTGGATCACTGGAAATAAAACGGGAGTGTACATCAACGAACTACGCTTGCTAAACATTTTACCCCTGCCCATGTTCATCCAGCTAAATAACATCTTACTTCTTGCCAGTCTTGATTCTAATGAACGAAATGAAATAGTGTTAAACAGGCGAACCACACGGGCTAGAAATATAGAAATTTTTGAGATGCGAAAAGTGAGAACGGAAAAAGCGAGAAACGAATTTGTTTTCAGAACCAGTAGGATTGTAAATCGATTAGAACCATATATTCATTTTGATAAACGAATCGGCCTCAAGACGAGAATTTTAAACACGATGTGGAAATTTGTAAACGAGAGATTTTCAGAAATGACAACGTGCACGTGGCAATTATTCTGTGATTGTATCACGTGCAGAAACAAGTGGACATTGTTTTAGAGAAGACGCCGGGACCAAGACTCCCAACAGCAGTGCTGTGAATCCCCAACAACAACAACAACAACAATATTGTTTTTTGTCTTAAAATAGTGCCAAGCTGTACTTCACCTGTGCCTGCAGTTTGCCTTCATCGCCCCTAAGCTTTGTGTCGACGAGTTCAGTGAATCAAGTTTCCAATTTTAAATTTTGTGCTGCGTCTGGTTAATCTTTTAGCTAGTTGCTTTGGTGGCAGTTGTTAAGATAAACATCATTTGCATTAAGAATTTGAATGTTTCAGATCTCCTTTAAGCACTTATTTCGTGAGTAATTGTAACATTCGTGATGTTGTGAGTAATTGTAACATTGGTAATTGTACATTGAGATCAAAGATGATAGGCTCTATAGCCATTGGCTCTATAGCCATTGGCTCAATGGCCAGAGACCTATCTCTCGTGCTTTTCTATCTCAATCGGTCGGAGCCAATTAACGGTTCAACTAGACATGGAACTCAGGATAGTCTTACTGCTTAAAGGCCACTACGAAAGTAACCCCCGATCTAGAAATTAAATAGCACGCCCCCATGGCTAGGTCTTCACCTAAAACATGCGAACGCAGTTAAAAACGGTCGGGAATTTTGCTTGTTACTTTTTATTAGCAGTGTGTTGCATGAACCTGAACACTCAACTTAATCACAGAAAACAATCTCTGGTTGATAAATCCAATAACTCAAGACATGCAAATACAGGACTAATGTAATTAACTAACTCAAGAAGTTATCGAATGTTTGAAATGAGTTTTGGACCGTAAGGTCAGTTCACTGGAAGGTTCTCCAGTGAAGTTGTATTCTAGATTAGATAAACTCTTTGCTTTTCTGGATCGCTCTCCGAAGCGAATCTCGGTTTTCTCTGTCGGTATGCAGACAACTCTACTCTAGTGAAATATCTAGATAAATCAATTGCGATCTGTTAGCAAAGAGGCACTTAGCATAGTGGTAAGGCGTTCACTTTGAAATCGTCAGATCGTGTATTCGATCCCATGCCATGGCAATGATAGTGTGCGAAGACGAGCTCTCACTTGACCTCTAGCTTCAGGCCTACCACATCATGACCAATTTCGGCTGCAATTGTGGTACCACATGAAAATTCTTGACGTAAAACAAACGGCCTTTAGTCGCAAAAAAGAGCTTCGCTCAACAAAATAACACAGTCTAGAATTAGGAGAGATAATACTACTGGACTATCTTCGACAGGACTGTAAAGGCCTACTGATAGCTCCTCTGCGATTCGCAGGAACCACATGATTATTATCATTTATCATTATATAATTGAACTGAAGTGAATTTAGGCACGACTCTCCCCCAAATTGTCAACTCGGCTGTTTTTTTTTACTTCTGATTTTTATGAGAAAATCAGGCAAGACTGTTTCGATTCGAATTTTTGATTAATTCAAATCCAAAACGAAAACTTCTTTCATCATGACCGACTGGCACAAATTTTGATTTACTGTAATCGAGTTTGGCCGCTCTGCGCCGCCTGATTTGCTTATGTACGTACATAATGGTCAATTTGCTAAGCATTATTTCAGTATAAGTATGCCCGAAGCAGCCGTTGAGCAAGCTCCTGGAGCTGAAAATGCTCAAAACGGGCAGCAACAGCAGACGGGGTGGGCGATGTTCAAAAGTTTTGCTATCAGGATGATGATTATGTATTTTGTTATGAGCTTTTTTCGAGGTGGTACAAATAACTCTAACCAACAGGAGGCGGCAACTACCGGTCCTGATGGCAAAGCTGTCACGTTTTCGAGCAGACCAGGAAGTAATTTATTTCGTAAAGGGGTCTGGATGAACCTAGCTGTTTACATCAATGATCTGGAAACTCTACCATCTGATTTTGAAGCTTCTGAGCCAGACTGGATGTTGGAGGATTTAGAGTATGGAGACTGGTATGGCGGCGTAAATAAAGATTCAACATATTCAACAGAAGTGACATTTCCTGTGCCATCATCTGTTCAAAATAATGGGACTATTTACATGCATATCTTCTTGACGAAAGATGGTTCTAGTCACAATCCAAAGTCAGCAGACTATAAGAAAGACAACGTGATTTACAGATCGAAAGCTATAACCAAATACAAGAAACGCGAGTTCAAGAAAACAAAAAACCTTTTGACCGGCGATACGGAAGTTCCAGTCGAACATCAGCTTGGGGAAAACGAAACTCACAGAGTTGAAATACTTTCTCATTTTCATCCCAATTTCACGATAAATGTCATCGACGACCACACTCCGTGGAAGCAAGGTCAAGTTCCAGCTCCGCTTGATAAATTCATCTTGTTTGACGAATTCGGAGATTATTACCCTATTGTTTTCTTTAATGACTACTGGAACCTGAATTCTGACTTCATGCCTCTGAACGAGACCGTGACTGAAATCAAGTTCAAAATGTCATTCGCTCCTCTGTCTCTGTTCAAATGGCAGATGTATGCTGCACAGTCAATGAGAAATCATTGGTCGATGTATCTAATGGAAGACCAAAATAATGACGCTGATCAAGATACATTTAAGCGGTCAGCGCCCTAAATTTCAAATTTATTTATGCGGTGATCCAAAATTTGTTATCATGAAAATAATATTTTGTTTCAGGGCTCTTCTAGACACGAATCCTTACTTGCTAGGACTGACTATAATTGTGTCAATTGTGCACAGTGTGTTTGAGTTTTTGGCGTTCAAGAATGACATCCAGTTCTGGCGGACCAGAGAGTCACTGGAAGGTCTATCTGTCCGATCTGTATTCTTCAACGTTTTCCAGTCGCTGATAGTTGTTCTGTATGTACTGGATAATGAGACAAACACAGTGGTTCAAATCAGTTGTGGAATCGGTCTGCTTATTGAGATGTGGAAAATCACTAAAGTTGTGCACGTGACTTTTTCTACAGAGGCAATGACCTGGGGTGAGTAGATTTTGATGACAATTTTATTTTTTTTCTACTGAAAGCTTAATTCAACACGAGTAACCGGTCTATAGGCAAGAAGCACCGATTATTTCAAATACTGCTATCATTGCAAAAAGTGAACATAAAATCGGAAACAAAAAAAAATCGATTTAAAAATGTTTATGAAGGGAATAAACCTGCTGTCGACGAACCCGCAGATTTAGGTTATCTTCTAAGGCATGGTATTTTATCATTGTAGAAATGAAGAGAAATTACAAACTCTACGCTGAGTCCTCAATTTGAGTCTTAAGTAGCAAAAAAATCAGACAAGATTTTCTGAGCCAGATATTTGATATTTTTGGATAGTTTTAGCCAGAGTTTGGATATATATATTTTTTTACTAATTCGAACCTCGACGAATATATGGGACTTTAAATGGTTCCACATTTGCTCCCGTTTCCTCTTCTTATGAGTGAGAAAAAATCCGCCCTATGCTAAAGTTCCTTCCCACTCTTTCGAGACTGATCGGAGCAACAAAATTATTTATTTTGTTTTACTGAAGCTAATTTCACATGAAAGCTCATTTTTGCACTCTCGCCGATATGTTTCTTTGTATAATTTTTCCACTTGATCCATTTTTAGTGTAACATGGCGAGTAAAGACCACAATCCAAGTATTTTGGTCTTATAAAAAAATCATTAAAGCAATTTCAGAGTGAGCATCCAAGAAAGAGCCCTTATTATCACAAAAAAATGCTTCAACTTGTTTTAATTACATTTTCTCTCAATTTTAGGTTTCATTCCTCTCAAGTTTGAGGAGAAGTCTTCGTACACAGAATCGCCTACTAAGAAGTACGACAGACTGGCTTTCAAGTACCTCGGAATGGCCTTCGTTCCCCTGCTCCTTGGTTATTCCATCTACTCTCTGATCTACAACGAGCACAAAGGGTGGTACTCTTACGTGCTGGGCATGATGTACGGGTTCCTCCTCACCTTCGGCTTCATCATGATGACTCCTCAGTTGTTCATCAACTACAAAATGAAGTCGGTCGCCCACCTGCCCTGGAGAATGCTGACGTACAAGGCGCTGAACACATTCATCGATGACATCTTTGCGTTCGTGATCCAAATGCCGACCTTGTACCGAATCGGATGCCTTCGCGATGACGTCATCTTCTTCATTTTTCTCTACCAGAAATACATCTACCCCGTGGACAAGACCAGAACCAATGAGTTCGGAGTGACTGGAGAGCAGCTGGAACAAGCAGGTGGAACTACTAAACCTGCGATTGAGCAGCCAGCTGAATCAGGTGGATCGAAGAAAAAGAAACCGGGAAAGCCGAAAACGGGAGCTGCTGCTAATGACGAGAAATCGGAGAGGGCAGAGGACGTCGAAGATACTGAGCCCAAGAAAGATAAATGAGAATGAGCATTGCTGACGTATTCCAATCTGTTATTTAAGTAAATTTGTTTCGTTTTGTGTTCAACCAGGATATTTGTGGTTATTTCAAACAGGGTTGCTTGTTTGAAACAAAGAGGGGGTCTTGTTTACTTATTCCGCTCAAAGTCGCAAATCTCTAATATAAAAACAAATGAAAATGCTCCACTCTGATTGGTTATTATTTAACACTTCTACAAAATACAGTTTGAACAGCACATTAAATTTGGTAGTGGCTTTTGAAAAGTTTGGGCGAAATAAGTAATTAAAAGACTCCAAAGGAGTTCTTTTTTGACTTGCTTTTTTGCCAAACTTAAATTTTTGACATTCGAACGAATAAAATAACTATATAGGAAATTGGTAAAAACTATATAATTCAATCTTACAACTAATGTTGAAGAATTTTCTGCAGCCCTGCTTTAAAACCCTAAGTTCGCATCTGCCCTGTCCATCTTTCGTAGAAGACCACCTGCTTAATTATAATTAGCAGTGACTTTTAAAGTGACCTGCCGACAGGAAGTTTCTGTAGCCTTGTAGTGCACGATTATCCACGAATATTTACATCTGTTGTCTATCGCAGCTGCTCAACCTAATTATGATGTTATTGTGAATTGTCAGATTGATTTATGTATTTTATATTCCCTTGTCTTCTGATGATAAATGTTTATTTGATGCTCCTTTTTGAAACTATTGAATGGAAATAATTTTAAATTTATCTCTTTTCCAACATGTTAGCTGAAACTTAATTTCTGGTCTCGACTTGGCCTGCGCTTTTTTGAATACAATTTCTTATAATTTTTTATAGCTTTCCTCCAGAATAGATCGACCGATGTAAAATCGTAAAATGTATACCCTTTCTTTGAAGGAAATTGCTCGTTAGGTCTCAACCTCATTTCCTGGAACCAGTGAACATCAATAAGGTTGAACCGATTATCGTTTTTGAGCCATTCAAAGGGAGAATTATAAGAACATATGTTTAAACAACAAATTGATAACTGTGCAAGCGAGGGCGTTGCCTGAATCTCAAGTTTTGGTTTGTTTTCTACAATGTTTCTGGTTTTAAGGTTAGGCCGTATTTGTTTTGGAGCAAAATTGAGGATATTCAAGTTTTTAACAGACCGCACTCTACTTAGGGCTACATATATTTGCCCATACTGCAGAAAGGAGCAAGCTGTTTTAAAATCAGCAACCACGCGCTCGAGAGTTAAACTTTGAGACTTGTGAATTGTTATGGCTCAAGCAAGAATTAATGGGAATTGAATGTGGACAGGAGGCATTTTGACCTCCACGGGAGGGGGGGGGGGGGCAGCAACACTCAGCTTCATAATTGGTATCGAATTGAAATTCAGAGCATAATTGTCTTCGGTTGAAGCTATTAACTCCGTTTCGAGTGGTTGCGATCTTTGTCACCGTAATCTTCAACAACCTGGAACAAAGAAATGAAAAATCAAACTAATGTGGTTATTGAAAGCAACCCACAACTGACCATTCAAAAACCTCAAATTCTAGGAGTCACCGTAATAACCTCTGTGCTTTCACTGAACACATTACCAGAGATAAACTAACTCAAACACAAAATAAATAACTGAAAAAGCTCTCAGGGACAGGCTGGGGATGCAGCAAAGAAACTGTAAGCATTACATTTAAGGCCATTGGGCGTAGTATTCTGAGTTACGCAGCTCCTATATGGACATCTTCAGTAAGTGATTCTCGTTGGAAAGACCTTCAAACTCGACAAAACACAGCACTAAGAACTGTAACTGGCTGCACAAATATGACCCCAATTTAACACCTTAATTGTGAAATTCTGATACTGCGAGCGAAAGAAAACAGTGAATTTTAAGCAAACATTTTTCAACTGGCTGCAATCAACAAGAACGGTGTGACCACAACACAACCAAACACAACCCAATGTCGAGACCAATAAAACCCTTGCCAAAAAATACTATGGCGAAATCAAAAATAATCTGAATGAAAATGATCGCTGAAAACATTTCATCCAAATGAAGTGAGAAGCTACGTGACCAAACATCCCTCTAAGCTAACGGGCTCTCAAACTCCAGAAAGAGCTTCGGAAGAAAACAGCCTTCCCAGAAGTTCACGACGTACTCTTGCTCAAATCCGCTGTGGATATAGCACACAGTTTAATAGCTATCTGTCAAGATAGGACAAAAACATCAAACGCAACTGCTCAAACTAACGCTAGTCCGCACGACACATACCACCTCTTTAACTGTCCATTGAAGCCAACATCTCTTAAACTTGACAAACTGTGGGACAACCCCGTTTTTCTCGGTTCTCCGCTCTAATTGAAAACTGTCCGCTGAAACCGGGCACGGGAGTTTTGTTCGCTTCTCCGTACCACAAACTGCACCATAGAACGGTGTTTACTCAGTACTGTCGGAAGGGGCCTTCCTGCTCTTAGCGAACCCTGGGAAAACCACCGTTACTGTTTTACGGGCGAGACGAAACAATCAATCAATCTCCACAATCTTCGATTGGGGAGTATTGAAAATAAACGGCAATGAAGAAACGAATTGGACTACCCCTCTTTTTGCAGCTACAAACAACAACATCTTTGTCACGGTCCCAATTGCACCAATCATGCGACCATCACTGATGTCTATATTACAAACGAGCATAATGGAGCTCCATGAGGGTTGCTTGTCAAGTGTCTGCTGATGATATGAACGGCTGATTTTCCCACGCAGGTAATTTTTGCGGAAAAAAATCAACTGCTTTTGACTTAAAGATGTTGCCTCCCAACTTCGCGTGCATTATTTCATAATGGCGCATAGTTGGTTCACCATCTGGATATCTTTGCAAAATTTGCGATGTAATTTGGCTCCACTGAATTGTTGAATTGACAAATTCGAGTTATTCGACATCACTTTCTGTATGCTTACCGACGCGAATGCGAGACAGTATTTAGGAAAATTGTTGGTCATTTTTCTGCGTCACAGATTTACTGAATTGCCAGCCAAATCTTGATTTCTTTTAAAAAATCCATTAATATCATCATCCAGTTCTGAGTAAATTGGCTTAGCTTCAACTAGCGGTAATTGATACAAATCAGCTAAAATAACAACAATATCCAAAAAGTGGGTTACCAGTCGTGTGAAATCAAAACCTTATATTTCACAGAGTCTCTGGTGTAGTTGAACGAGTCTTTTGGGAGACATCATGCTACCTTCGTCAATCACAACTGTATTAGTTTGGGAAGATTGGTAATGAAATTTTGTAGAAAGTTTGGGCAACAAGTTCTTTCTATGACGAGGCATGGAAGAAGAGCTGTCGATTACAACACCTTCGATAACTAAGGCAGCTACCTCTGTTATTGCGCAAACGGCATTCTGGGTTTAACTTGTGAATTTTTCTGTTTTTGAAGCTAGAAAACTATTGGCTGCAACAAGGGCCTCGATTACAAGGGTATTGCAATCGGGTACCAGACTTTTTTCCCATCAACAACCTTGTCCACAGGACTCACTTATGAACTCCTTCAGAAATCCTCTTTGCTAACCCTACTCCTCTCGGCTGCAAATATTAAGCCTGATTGAATTTGTTTTTTTTTTGAATATTCGTCCCTTTCAAAATTTGCTTTTTATGTTGGTTGTTCCAACTCGATGAGTTAAAATTTTATTTATTTTTTGTTGTCCTTTTTTCGGCTTAATAGGCTCGGGCATATTTTATATCGGCTTAGTGGCCTAGTTTCGAGTGGTTTCAAGAGGAACATAGTTTCTTTTGTTCAGCTCTGAATCGCACCAAATGCTGAAAATTTTAATGGAAATTAGAGTTCAAGTCTTTCATGACAGTAATTTTTTTTTGGCCTCCGTTTTTTTCTCTTTTTTGGCTTGATGACTTTCGGCCTATATTATATCGGTTTATGGTGGCTTATTAAGCCTTTAGATTGGCGATAGAAAATGTGTGTGTGCGTGTCTGTGTTTTGAGGGTGAGGGGGACTTAATAAGTTCTTATAAGTCATAGAAATTTTTGATTTTTTCTTGTTTTTTCTATTTTTTCCGGCTTGATAGGTTTTGGCCTTTATTACATCAGCTTAGCCGGCACTTGTTGAGTCGCTTCACGAGCTGTGTTTTATATGTGTTTTGAGGGTTAGGGGGTTAAATTAGTAGAAGTCTTTTTAGTAGTCTTAAATTTTTTGGCTTTTTTTTCAGCTAATAGGTTTCGGCCAATATTATACTGTCATAGTGGCCGCTTATTGTTTCATTTGACGCGCGACGTGTGTGTGTATGTTTGTGTTTTTTTGATGTGTGGGGGACTTGATATATTTTTTTAAATTTTCGGCCTAAGGGTTTCTGCCAAGGTATTTCCTGCTTTTTTACCGCGTGATAAATTTTCTTATGATGCTAGTTTCACATTCTATTGTCTTGGCTCGTTGCTGTTCCAAACCTAGTCTCATCGATAGATCTAGTTCGAAATTTTTGAACTTTTTTTGCCTCTGTGTTAATTATAATTTTCCCACACCACTTATGTTTCTTCGCCGATATGTTTCTTTGTATAATTTTTCCACTTGATCCATTTTTAGTGTAACATGGCGAGTAAAGACCACAATCCAAGTATTTTGGTCTTATAAAAAAATCATTAAAGCAATTTCAGAGTGAGCATCCAAGAAAGAGCCCTTATTATCACAAAAAAATGCTTCAACTTGTTTTAATTACATTTTCTCTCAATTTTAGGTTTCATTCCTCTCAAGTTTGAGGAGAAGTCTTCGTACACAGAATCGCCTACTAAGAAGTACGACAGACTGGCTTTCAAGTACCTCGGAATGGCCTTCGTTCCCCTGCTCCTTGGTTATTCCATCTACTCTCTGATCTACAACGAGCACAAAGGGTGGTACTCTTACGTGCTGGGCATGATGTACGGGTTCCTCCTCACCTTCGGCTTCATCATGATGACTCCTCAGTTGTTCATCAACTACAAAATGAAGTCGGTCGCCCACCTGCCCTGGAGAATGCTGACGTACAAGGCGCTGAACACATTCATCGATGACATCTTTGCGTTCGTGATCCAAATGCCGACCTTGTACCGAATCGGATGCCTTCGCGATGACGTCATCTTCTTCATTTTTCTCTACCAGAAATACATCTACCCCGTGGACAAGACCAGAACCAATGAGTTCGGAGTGACTGGAGAGCAGCTGGAATAAGCAGGTGGAACTACTAAACCTGCGATTGAGCAGCCAGCTGAATCAGGTGGATCGAAGAAAAAGAAACCGGGAAAGCCGAAAACGGGAGCTGCTGCTAATGACGAGAAATCGGAGAGGGCAGAGGACGTCGAAGATACTGAGCCCAAGAAAGATAAATGAGAATGAGCATTGCTGACGTATTCCAATCTGTTATTTAAGTAAATTTGTTTCGTTTTGTGTTCAACCAGGATATTTGTGGTTATTTCAAACAGGGTTGCTTGTTTGAAACAAAGAGGGGGTCTTGTTTACTTATTCCGCTCAAAGTCGCAAATCTCTAATATAAAAACAAATGAAAATGCTCCACTCTGATTGGTTATTATTTAACACTTCTACAAAATACAGTTTGAACAGCACATTAAATTTGGTAGTGGCTTTTGAAAAGTTTGGGCGAAATAAGTAATTAAAAGACTCCAAAGGAGTTCTTTTTTGACTTGCTTTTTTGCCAAACTAAAATTTTTGACATTCGAACGAATAAAATAACTATATAGGAAATTGGTAAAAACTATATAATTCAATCTTACAACTAATGTTGAAGAATTTTCTGCAGCCCTGCTTTAAAACCCTAAGTTCGCATCTGCCCTGTCCATCTTTCGTAGAAGACCACCTGCTTAATTATAATTAGCAGTGACTTTTAAAGTGACCTGCCGACAGGAAGTTTCTGTAGCCTTGTAGTGCACGATTATCCACGAATATTTACATCTGTTGTCTATCGCAGCTGCTCAACCTAATTATGATGTTATTGTGAATTGTCAGATTGATTTATGTATTTTATATTCCCTTGTCTTCTGATGATAAATGTTTGTTTGATGCTCCTTTTTGAAACTATTGAATGGAAATAATTTTAAATTTATCTCTTTTCCAACATGTTAGCTGAAACTTAATTTCTGGTCTCGACTTGGCCTGCGCTTTTTTGAATACAATTTCTTATAATTTTTTATAGCTTTCCTCCAGAATAGATCGACCGATGTAAAATCGTAAAATGTATACCCTTTCTTTGAAGGAAATTGCTCGTTAGGTCTCAACCTCATTTCCTGGAACCAGTGAACATCAATAAGGTTGAACCGATTATCGTTTTTGAGCCATTCAAAGGGAGAATTATAAGAACATATGTTTAAACAACAAATTGATAACTGTGCAAGCGAGGGCGTTGCCTGAATCTCAAGTTTTGGTTTGTTTTCTACAATGTTTCTGGTTTTAAGGTTAGGCCGTATTTGTTTTGGAGCAAAATTGAGGATATTCAAGTTTTTAACAGACCGCACTCTACTTAGGTCTACATATATTTGCCCATACTGCAGAAAGGAGCAAGCTGTTTTAAAATCAGCAACCACGCGCTCGAGAGTTAAACTTTGAGACTTGTGAATTGTTATGGCTCAAGCAAGAATTAATGGGAATTGAATGTGGACAGGAGGCATTTTGACCTCCACGGGAGGGGGGGGGCAGCAACACTCAGCTTCATAATTGGTATCGAATTGAAATTCAGAGCATAATTGTCTTCGGTTGAAGCTATTAACTCCGTTTCGAGTGGTTGCGATCTTTGTCACCGTAATCTTCAACAACCTGGAACAAAGAAATGAAAAATCAAACTAATGTGGTTATTGAAAGCAACCCACAACTGACCATTCAAAAACCTCAAATTCTAGGAGTCACCGTAATAACCTCTGTGCTTTCACTGAACACATTACCAGAGATAAACTAACTCAAACACAAAATAAATAACTGAAAAAGCTCTCAGGGACAGGCTGGGGATGCAGCAAAGAAACTGTAAGCATTACATTTAAGGCCATTGGGCGTAGTATTCTGAGTTACGCAGCTCCTATATGGACATCTTCAGTAAGTGATTCTCGTTGGAAAGACCTTCAAACTCGACAAAACACAGCACTAAGAACTGTAACTGGCTGCACAAATATGACCCCAATTTAACACCTTAATTGTGAAATTCTGATACTGCGAGCGAAAGAAAACAGTGAATTTTAAGCAAACATTTTTCAACTGGCTGCAATCAACAAGAACGGTGTGACCACAACACAACCAAACACAACCCAATGTCGAGACCAATAAAACCCTTGCCAAAAAATACTATGGCGAAATCAAAAATAATCTGAATGAAAATGATCGCTGAAAACATTTCATCCAAATGAAGTGAGAAGCTACGTGACCAAACATCCCTCTAAGCTAACGGGCTCTCAAACTCCAGAAAGAGCTTCGGAAGAAAACAGCCTTCCCAGAAGTTCACGACGTACTCTTGCTCAAATCCGCTGTGGATATAGCACACAGTTTAATAGCTATCTGTCAAGATAGGACAAAAACATCAAACGCAACTGCTCAAACTAACGCTAGTCCGCACGACACATACCACCTCTTTAACTGTCCATTGAAGCCAACATCTCTTAAACTTGACAAACTGTGGGACAACCCCGTTTTTCTCGGTTCTCCGCTCTAATTGAAAACTGTCCGCTGAAACCGGGCACGGGAGTTTTGTTCGCTTCTCCGTACCACAAACTGCACCATAGAACGGTGTTTACTCAGTACTGTCGGAAGGGGCCTTCCTGCTCTTAGCGAACCCTGGGAAAACCACCGTTACTGTTTTACGGGCGAGACGAAACAATCAATCAATCTCCACAATCTTCGATTGGGGAGTATTGAAAATAAACGGCAATGAAGAAACGAATTGGACTACCCCTCTTTTTGCAGCTACAAACAACAACATCTTTGTCACGGTCCCAATTGCACCAATCATGCGACCATCACTGATGTCTATATTACAAACGAGCATAATGGAGCTCCATGAGGGTTGCTTGTCAAGTGTCTGCTGATGATATGAACGGCTGATTTTCCCACGCAGGTAATTTTTGCGGAAAAAAATCAACTGCTTTTGACTTAAAGATGTTGCCTCCCAACTTCGCGTGCATTATTTCATAATGGCGCATAGTTGGTTCACCATCTGGATATCTTTGCAAAATTTGCGATGTAATTTGGCTCCACTGAATTGTTGAATTGACAAATTCGAGTTATTCGACATCACTTTCTGTATGCTTACCGACGCGAATGCGAGACAGTATTTAGGAAAATTGTTGGTCATTTTTCTGCGTCACAGATTTACTGAATTGCCAGCCAAATCTTGATTTCTTTTAAAAAATCCATTAATATCATCATCCAGTTCTGAGTAAATTGGCTTAGCTTCAACTAGCGGTAATTGATACAAATCAGCTAAAATAACAACAATATCCAAAAAGTGGGTTACCAGTCGTGTGAAATCAAAACCTTATATTTCACAGAGTCTCTGGTGTAGTTGAACGAGTCTTTTGGGAGACATCATGCTACCTTCGTCAATCACAACTGTATTAGTTTGGGAAGATTGGTAATGAAATTTTGTAGAAAGTTTGGGCAACAAGTTCTTTCTATGACGAGGCATGGAAGAAGAGCTGTCGATTACAACACCTTCGATAACTAAGGCAGCTACCTCTGTTATTGCGCAAACGGCATTCTGGGTTTAACTTGTGAATTTTTCTGTTTTTGAAGCTAGAAAACTATTGGCTGCAACAAGGGCCTCGATTACAAGGGTATTGCAATCGGGTACCAGACTTTTTTCCCATCAACAACCTTGTCCACAGGACTCACTTATGAACTCCTTCAGAAATCCTCTTTGCTAACCCTACTCCTCTCGGCTGCAAATATTAAGCCTGATTGAATTTGTTTTTTTTTGAATATTCGTCCCTTTCAAAATTTGCTTTTTATGTTGGTTGTTCCAACTCGATGAGTTAAAATTTTATTTATTTTTTGTTGTCCTTTTTTCGGCTTAATAGGCTCGGGCATATTTTATATCGGCTTAGTGGCCTAGTTTCGAGTGGTTTCAAGAGGAACATAGTTTCTTTTGTTCAGCTCTGAATCGCACCAAATGCTGAAAATTTTAATGGAAATTAGAGTTCAAGTCTTTCATGACAGAAATTTTTTTTTGGCCTCCGTTTTTTTCTCTTTTTTGGCTTGATGACTTTCGGCCTATATTATATCGGTTTATGGTGGCTTATTAAGCCTTTAGATTGGCGATAGAAAATGTGTGTGTGCGTGTCTGTGTTTTGAGGGTGAGGGGGACTTAATAAGTTCTTATAAGTCTTAGAAATTTTTGATTTTTTCTTGTTTTTTCTATTTTTTCCGGCTTGATAGGTTTTGGCCTTTATTACATCAGCTTAGCCGGCACTTGTTGAGTCGCTTCACGAGCTGTGTTTTATATGTGTTTTGAGGGTTAGGGGGTTAAATTAGTAGAAGTCTTTTTAGTAGTCTTAAATTTTTTGGCTTTTTTTTCAGCTAATAGGTTTCGGCCAATATTATACTGTCATAGTGGCCGCTTATTGTTTCATTTGACGCGCGACGTGTGTGTGTATGTTTGTGTTTTTTTGATGTGTGGGGGACTTGATATATTTTTTAAGGGTTTCTGCCAAGGTATTTCCTGCTTTTTTACCGCGTGATAAATTTTCTTATGATGCTAGTTTCACATTCTATTGTCTTGGCTCGTTGCTGTTCCAAACCTAGTCTCATCGATAGATCTAGTTCGAAATTTTTGAACTTTTTTTGCCTCTGTGTTAATTATAATTTTCCCACACCACTTTGTCCCCGCTTTGTACTTGTTTAAGCGAAAACAGTATACTTGGAAAATCGGATGTCAACTTCAGATGCTTATCAAAAAATAGGTCGTAGTCATATTTTTCTTCAGCTTGCACTGGGTCCTTGTGATGCGAGCGTTTCAATTCTTGGATAACGTTGTCTTGGATGTCTTTTTATGAGACCGCCTGAGCATTGATATCGTCAGCATCTTTTTCCAGATGTTTTCCGGTTTTCAATAATAGCAATAACGACTGGATGCATCATTTTTGACGTAAAAGTTTTGGCCCTTCTAATAGTTCAGACTCATTTCTCCACAGTAGATAGCGCAGCAGTAAACTTTGAATAAACTTCAGGGTTATCTTCAAAGTTGAAACCGGGGAACGTGATATATGCGGGCACTACGAAGTTTAAACTTTGTCTTTCCATTCATTGTCACAAGCGACCGGGGGGTTTCGATTCTTCAAGTGCACGCAGTTCGTCTATTTATTTTCTGGTCGACAATCACTTGTTTCTTTGTTTTTAGCCTGCTTATAATAAGACACAAACTCAGCCAAACGCAACTTTGAAAATGCTTTGCAAATTTCTTTTTGTGTTTTGTATTGTTGGTCTATCTGAATATTTATCGAATATGTTTATGACAAAATGTCTGTAGAATCTTTTTCCACCTTCTCTAAAAGACTAAAAGACTCTTGCTTTTAGCCATTCTTGCTCATTCATAAATTGGAGTCGCATTAATAAAATTACATGCCGGGAAAGTTCTTCGTAGATAAATGTTCTCCTTGATAAAGTTCTCCCTGATAATGTTCTGAAGCAAGGTTCCTGCTGTGAGACTTCACGAGCAGTTGAAAATGCAGTAAGACTTCAGGAGCAGTTTTTTTTTGCATAGTTTTCGCATAGATTTATTTAATAATAGTTTCGCGCTGCTTGACTGAATCACTCGTTGCTTTTGATACTGTGATTTCTTTCTTTGAAAAGTATTTAACTAAATGCATAACACAAGATAATGCCTTTAGCAGGGGCTATAGATCCAGGTTTGCGCGATAGCAGAAAATAAGGAAAGGGTTGTGTTTGTTTGTATAAACACTGCCAACATCCCGTAGAAAAAGAACTTCTACTGAGCTATCTGGAGAAATTGATAGTGAATTGTAGTAATCTGCAGGATCTCCTTTGGCTTTCAGTAATAATTTTGATATTGTCAATTGGATCCTAAAGGAAGATTTGCCGCGCTTAAACCAGTCTGAATATAATTTTCTAGTCGATATTGAAAATATCGTGAATCGAGCAGGAACTTTATTTGAGAGGTTAAATTTTTCTTGATACGTCAGTTTTGCTATATCATTAGTAGAAAGGGGACTGTCAAGAAAGCTTCTCGATGAAGCAATGTACAAATCTAGCCATTCTGGGCTAGCGCAGGAAATTGTATGTCAGAAATCAGAAATAGCAAGTTGTCTAACCATTGACAACAACTCATACGTAAATGTTTTTCAATGGCAAGGTGTTCCAGGAACTTGTGACGTAAATTTTTAATTGATCATCAAGTAGCGAAGAAGCTGCGATTCTTATTTTACATTTCTTCAAGTTTATACCAAAGCTGTTTTGTAGTTTCGATAGTTCGCATAAATATTGTGCATAGAAAAGATAATCAGGATTCGAACTGAATCTGCCAGAGTAATGAAGAAGTCTGACATGAAATACTGTGTAATACTAAGTCGTTTTAACCAGTCGCAGGTTAGTCCATACCGAGTAAATGGAAAGCGAGAAAGGAATGCTAAGTAATCGCAGTTTTTGTTAGTCAGAAAATTAAGGGTTTTGATTTTCTCCCGGAGCAACTTCTACTACTTTCGAAATTGCGTTTTAGCTTTTGGTATTTTATCTGTTTCTTGTAGACAGGTAGAATGAGCTGGCATATGGTACGTTGTGATTTCTTCATCAGAGTTATCGTCTTCATCTTCTTCCGCAGCTTCACCAATTAATTTTTTGGTTAGCTTCCGTAGCTTTGACAGCAGTTGAATTCTCTCGTTGTCAAAGTTTTGGCATGGGGGTTTATTTTAAGTTTTTCAATTGCTTTTATGCTTTTGAGGTACGTATGATGTCTTCATATTCAGTTTTTTTAATTCTAACTTCCGTTTAAATTTGAGAAAAAAATGTCATGAGTTGCCAAGTTGGGGGCTAATCAAAAAACTGTTGGTAAAGCAATTGGCACTTTGATCACAGCTCCTTAAATTTGCGTTGCTGCGTTCTGACAACTTGCGTTTTGAACATTTTAACAAAAAGTTTTCTAAGTGATGTCAAGTATTCTTCAAGTTGTGTCAGATCTAATTCAATAGGAGTATCATCAGCGGATAAGTCGTTTTACCCTATAAAACTGGCAAGCTTAAGTTATGCAAGGATTTGTGACATATGATGCTCGTGACATATGACACGGCTAAAAGGGAACTCTTGCTCCACTGAGCTTAAATTAAGTCTTTTTTAAATAATTCGTGTGAATCGGAGTTTGACTCGAATTCTACAAATAGGCAAATTGTCAATTAGGACGAGCACATATTCTCGCATGCGACGAATTGCTGCCCTTGGAAAAGGGAGAAAAGAAGAATTTTCATCCCATACCAATTTTCGCCTGTTAAAAAAGTTCGAAACTTGATTTTTTGATGGCAGTTGACTATGGTTTATCATCTGAAACTATGCTGATTTTTCTTTCAAATCCTTTTTTCGTATTCTTTAATTTTTCTTTACTTGTTTTTGAAGTGCAGCTTAGCCTCTGCGTACAACAAAAATTCAAGGTTCATGAAAACAATAGATAAAACATCTTAGCTAGCTAAAACTTGGTTACTGGAGTAAACTTGAAGTGTTATGAGCTGATTGTAGTTTTAGTGGTATAATAGTTTTTATGCAAAATGCTATGATACGCGCAATTGAAGCTTATTGCTTGAAATTCATTTATATTCAAACTGGAATATAGATTTTTTAAAACCTGTATAGCTTTCAGATTCTTTGAAAAATGTCTATGTTGTCAACAGCTTGCAAACGAGTATTATTCCCGCGTGTTGTCAGAAGCTCCCGTAGATGTTTTTGCTCCTCAGTCGTGAAAACATCACAGCAATCTGCAGATAGGGAAGCGACATCTACTGAACATAAACTTCCCACTGTTGAAGAAGTTTCAACCCTCAATTCTGAAATAGAATCAATGAAAGAACAGCTTTCGAAGGAAACGGAGCGTTCTAAAGAGTTGGATGATAAATATAGACGTTCAATAGCTGAAAATGAAAACCAAAGAATTCGATTGAGCAAGAAAATTGAAGAGGCTAAAATTTTTGGCATCCAGAAGTTCAGTAAAGACCTTCTGGAAATCTCAGATACTTTGGGGTTAGCACTTGAAAGTGTTTCCCAAGATGAGTTGAGCTCTAATGAACCTTTGAGGAATTTGTTCAATGGCCTCAAAATGACAGAAGTTCAGTTACAGAAAGTGTTTTCGAAACATAATTTGTTTAAAATTGACCCGATTGACCAACCCTTCAATCCACATGAGCACGAGGCAGTTTTTTACCAGCCAATCGAGGGCAAGGAAAGTGGGACTGTTATCAATGTGCAGAAAGTAGGCTTTAAGTTGGAAGACAGAGTTATTCGACCTGCTATTGTCGGAGTTGCTAAGTAAATTATGACTGTCAAACCCATGTTTTCATTTCTCAAGGAAATAAATTATCTGTAGTATTTTTATTTTGATGTCTCTTCCATAGCCAAACATTAAATTAAGACATTAGTTCTAGAAGTCAAGCTTTTAAATCTTTTCAGATGAACGTTGACGTTACAGATATTATATCATTGATTGAGATTTTCTGCAGCAAAGTTTAATTTTATCATGTTCGCATAATCGGCAAACTTTCATAGTTTACACTAGCTGGTGAAATATGGACGACAAATCTTACGTTGAGTTTGAGCGAATGATTGCAACTTCAAACACTATTTTGAATTATAACCAAGCTGTAACCGATTCTTTGAATGCATTCATCAAATCTTCGCTTGAATCGCAAGATTCCAGGCTAGTTTTGGTAACCTCTGGAGGCACTAGTGTGCCCCTGGAAAAGGAGCCAGTGAGACATCTGGATAATTTTTCAACTGGACTCAGAGGTGCTAGAAGCTCGGAAGAGTTCCTGGCCGACAAAGACTACAAAGTTATTTTGCTAAAACGTGACAACGCGAAGCTACCTTTTGCCGAAGAGTTACCTTTCGCAACAAAAATTTCGCAAGATGGTTTGTTTTCGAATAGCTTTGACGATGTTACTTCACATGACCATCTGACCATTGAAAAATTAGAGCTGCTTCGTGAGAAATCATCGCGCTTGTTTTTGCTTAATTTCGTTACTGTTCACGAATATTTTGCGATTCTGCGGCACATTTGCATTGAAGCTAACGGCCTGGGACCTCGATTTATGTTATATGCGGCCGCCGCTGTTTCAGATTACTACATTCCAGTTGACAATTTACCGGAACATAAAATTCCCTCAGGACTTAGTTGTCTCACTTTGAATCTCTTCCCTGTACCTAAAGCTCTGCATTATGTACTCAAAAGATGGTGCTCTGATTGTTTTATGGTCACGTTTAAATTAGAAACTGAGGAAAATACGCTCATTGAAAAGTGTGAGAAGGCACTTAAAACTTATAATCATCATTTTGTTGTCGGAAATATTCTTTCAAAAAGACACAAGGAGGTTGTTCTTTGCTCAAAACCTAAAAAAAGTTTTGTAGTGGAAAACATTGAGCTTAAGGAATCTTCACAAAATTTGGAGTCTTTGTTTATACCTGCTATTATTCAAGGTCATTTGGAGTTTGTTGCCTTATGACATAGTGATGTGTTATTTTTATAATAATTAACACTATTTGCAATCATTTTGCTGTAAATGTAAATTTATCAATTGTTCAACAGAAGAACACACGAAAACTGATGGTCTCAAATGCATGCATGAAAAGTTTTGACTGTGCGCTGGTATTTAAACGTATCGTCGTTCTAACCATATGCTTAATTAAATTTGGTTTGGTTAATCTCAATTCTGCGCTTTCAGATCAGTTTCTCTGATTCTTCACATCTCGTCTCAGCTACAGTCTTAACAAAAAACAATTCAAATCTCAACAATGTCTGCCCTCGCCAGAGCTGCTAGATTCACTCCACGAGTGACCCTCATTAGCCAGACATCCGGAGCACGAGCAGTGTCGGCCGCCGTCACCGTGCAGCCGCAGCAACTATTGCACACGACTGCAGTTAGACGAGACATCGACTCGGCCGCCAAGTACATCGGAGCCGGAGCTAGCGCAGCAGGAGTAGCCGGATCTGGAGCAGGAATCGGAAGCATCTTTGGATCTATGTTGATCGCCTACGCTAGGAACCCCTCAATGAAGCAACAGTTGTTCTCATTTGCTATTCTGGGATTCGCCTTGTCCGAGGCTATGGGACTATTTTGTCTCCTGGTTGCATTCTTGATCCTGTTCGCTTTGTGAGCGAAACTGGAGCGGAATATTACAACTAGAGGCTGGCACACAACAGTTGAACCAAGAGCACATTTACTCGCAAGCTGGGACATAGATTAATTCACGAAACTCAATGCTCTGAGCTGATCTTTTACTCACTGATGTAGTACCACTAATTGACGATAATTTGTATCTATGTTGCGAACTTGAAATTACTACTGTTAACGGAGACAATATATCATGTTAACCTGACTTCCTGTTTTTTTTTGCGAGCCATCATGAGTATCAGACAAGTTGCCTGTTAATAAGCCAGTCAAATCTTACATTGTTGTAGTTCTTTTTGTTTCAACAGGGGGTTTCGGGGGTTTTCCATTGAAAAAGGTAGGCGTCTATATTGAGATCAACCTTTATGAACTTCATTTGTCACGTGATAGTTATTTTGATTTCTAAATTAAAAACTATCCCAACGCGATTAGAAGTCACTTGAATCGTGTTTTTTCCTTCGGTGCTATTATTGGGTTTTCAAACTTGATCAGGTGGAGTTCAAGCGGGGCTCTCCAATAAAAGGGGTCAAATATTAAGAAAGGTTGCTCTTAAGAGAAGTTGTTCTCAAGTTTTGTTTCAGACGGTTTAATCAGATTAATTTCACATTGATGCCTTAAAATTATCTTGAAAAAAAAGTCTTGAAGGACTTAGGCAAAGAATCAATAAATTGAGATCAAAAATTGGTTTTTCAAGTGAAATGATTGAACCGATAAATTGCTTTTAAATTAGCAAGCGTTATCAAATACAAACTTTTTTGTTGTAAACAACTTGTTGATCAAATTTAACGAATCAATTCGTAAGCTCTTGTGTGAACTCGTCAACGAACTGGCAAATTTTGAGTATTTTTAGTTTATATACCCATTCTATATGATTTTTTTCCGATTTTGTAAAGTTTCAGGTTTTTCACCTAAAATGTTTGTTTTCGACTTGAATGGTTTCGGCTTAATTATCTTAGTTTTTTTTACCTCAAGATCCCTTGTTTTTTCTTCTAAAGGTTCGGCCAGCCTTTCTTCTTTTAACAAAAATTTTAGCACTGATCCGAATGTCTCGACCCCAACGTACCCCCCATACTGTCCTTCCTCACATACCACTTTTCGTCTTTTTCAACTGTTTCCAGAACACCGCTTTTTTTACCCCAATTGACTAGTGGCTTCGTCCGATCGAAGTTGGGACGTTTCTGTGGATTGGTTTGAGCATTCCGGACGCGCCCGCTCGGGGCTAAAAACAACCATAAATGTTATCAAAGCGGGATTCGAGCGCATGGTCTTTGTTTGAAAAGCCGCGCGTCTTACCCACTCAGCCAGAGCTGCTTACGTTTTAGTATGCTTATGTCATTTGGGTTTACTTGGCTCATAACAGGGCGTTTGAAGGATAAAAACATGAATCAGTTGGCAGTATATGGATTTTTACGACTTTTTGGCTCAACGGTCATCTACCCATTTTGTCTTCTTATTAAGTGCTTGATAAGTTTTTTTGTCTTGCAAGCTTATTTAATACTTTATGGTTCTGTTTTCTGACAGCTTTTCTGAATTTTTTTTCCATTTTTTTCGGTTTTGTCGTTTTCGTTGTTTTTTCTACTCGCTAGCTCGCAATGCTGCGCTTAAATTGTATCGCAAGAGATACCCACCTCGCTTTGCCTGTGTTCAAAAAAAAATTGTTATGGAGTTTAATGAATCTGTAAAGTTCAACGGCGATCTACCCAAGTTTTGTCAGCTTATTAATCGCTTGATCAAGTTTGTTTCAATATTTATTTGACACTGGTAATTGCGTTTCTCGATTTTTTTTTCTCGTCAAATTGAGTTTCACCCTAGACGTTTTGATTGATGCTGACTTAGTTGATTGATTAAAAAAAAAACTTTTTCTCTCGAAGCAATGATTTCCGTCTTTTTTCTCGGGTACAACAGCTTCTTTTTTTTGTAAAAATACTTTTACGAATCTTTTTGATTTGCACTTATTGAAATGTTTCAATAAACCTTGTGCCAATGCAGCACATGGGACCATTGAATACTCGTATAATTTATTTAGCTGCCTGAATTTGTATAAAATTGATTAGAAAAGTCTCAACAATTCGTGCGCGTGGGGGAAAAGAAAAATTGACAAAAGTTATACAGCAAATGAAAACATCCTCGGGTAATAATCGATTTTTTTTGGAATTTGCTAGTCGTTTAAATAGTTCTCTGTGAACATTTATCGGAATATTTCTTTCTTGCAAATTTTGCATGCGCTTAAGAGTTTGCAGCTAGAAATAGCGAAACAGAAATTTAGATTTCCGACTTAAAATGATGTTTCGGCATAATGTTAAATTGCTTTTTGGGAAATTGTCCGTTAATTGCGTCCGTGAGAAGATTAAGTTACCCGTCGGGTTATGTTTTCGGAAATTTTTCTATCTTTTTTGCTTTTTCTTGCTTTATTTCATTGATATTTTCTAAAAATTTTGTTCAATATTAATTTCAAGCTTATTACAGTTAAGAAAGTAATCGAGTACTTGACTTTTTTTTCTATGAACAGCCTTGTTGACCGGACTCATCTCCCAAAGTCCTCTGCTGGAATCTTCTCATGGAGGCCTCTGCTGCAGTTATGGTGCAACAGTTGTATTTTGAGCATGTTTGTATTTTAAATACCCAAACTAATAAAAAAAATATTGGCTGTGCATTTACCACTTTTTTAAAAGCTTTATTCAGCCTTATAGCCTCATATCGTCATTTGCTGCGAGTTCTGAGGAAGACTTTGGTTTCGTTTTAACATGCTCAAATTTGTTACACATTGTTTTTCGAAGCAACTCGTCTAGCCAAGTATTGTCGGCTTAATTACCCCTTGCTAAATTAATTTCAATGCTTGGTTAATGTAGCATAGTGCTACACGTTTACGTTAGGTGTTTTTTTTTTGTTACCATAGTTGGAGCAGAGCTGTTAAATAGAAGGTCAATGCTACATATTATAAATGTCAAATTGCTAATTGTTTTTATCCTATGTAAACCAGACAGAGCTCTAACTGAGAGAGCAGTACAAAATAGAGAGAGCTACACTAATTACGGGCTCTGAAAACGAATAATTAAAAAAAATAATACTCACTTTTAGCTAAGCGTCAGCTTAGTGTATTATTAAGAACCTTCTTTTTTCGAACCTAAGTTGCAAAAATTGGTGCTTTTTTTGGTGCTTCTTTACAGTTTTTTTGATGACATGTGCTTAGACATTCGAATAGTAATAATTTAGCACAGTTAATGCATTTTAATTTCATCAAATGAACCGAAAAAAGCTATTTGTTTTGAACAACATCAAAAATAAAAACTCGATTTCTATTTCAATATATCTCGCAATTTTTGGAAATGCATAGTTTATACATGTGGTTTTATGGCTTCCGATTTGTTACATGCAAAGTTAGTGTGGATGCCTTCAGTTTTTTATATTTCAAATAATTACCTACAAAATTGTGTCTATTTGTATTTGGTGCCATTTTTGCTCAATTGCTTTGGCAATTTATTAGCACATGTAGCTGCTTGATTCGTGACTACTGTATTGCGGTGGTTAGGCATGCGTGGTTTAGTGGCAAGTGCGTGGGACTCAAAATATCTAGATTGCAGTAGTTCGCTGATCGAATCCTAGATCTAGCCGGTTTTTACTAATTCAAGGCCTATTTCTATTCTAATTGCACTTTCTAGAGCTGATTTTGGCGTATTCTACCTATTGTTTACGAAGCCAAGCTTCGATTTTGTGTCAAGACTTAGTTCAGTCTCTCAAGAAGAGGTAACCATCATAAAGCGCATCCCTGAGTTGCAGGTACTGTGACCTTCAGCCAAAATCGACATCAGTCAAGCAAAATACAATACGTCTAAAAACACATTCATATTCTGATCGACAATAGCCAGCAAATTTATATTATATTAAAGGTCGATGTTTCGTCCAAAACTAATATCAGCTGAGGCAAATGGTGATCTTAATTGTTTTGTCAATGTAGCTTTTTCTCAACATTTTTCATTTTTTTGTGGCTCACTCTCAAGATTAAAGCAGGCGTAAGAATCAGTTGCTTCAACCCAATATATAATTCTTATCGGTTTCTTATAGTCTGATAGTCAACTGGAAGTGTTTTATGCGGGAAAACTATAGCACAAGGAATTGGAAAGCTCAAATTCCACTTCCACATCCCCCGGAAAAGATTACGAATTTTTATTTAATATGCGGGGAAAAAGTGTACTTGTAATCGGGAACTAGACTTTTTGTACCGTAAAGAACTTTTCTTACAAAGTTTTAAAAAATTGAATTTAGTTTTTTGTGGAACCTCAACACCCTCCAGGTTTCTCTCATTTGGTGTAGTGGTAAAGCGCGAGCCTTCGGATAATAAGGTTATGAGGTTAACGGATTATTGTTGTACTTTGGTTTTCCCGCTTATTTTTAATCGGCTTACTTTCCAAGACATGAAATCCAATATCCTCAAAGCATCACCTCTCTTCTTATTCAAGCAATTTTATTCACAAATGAAAGTTTTTATTATATGAAAGTTACCAACTCGATTTTGTTCAATTTTTTTGTTCAATTTTGTAGCTTTAATTGCCTTAGGTTTGTGTTATATCAACTGAGTTCTTCGTGTCGTTTGAAGAGCAAAAAAAATTGTTTTGCTTTTGTATGGTCCAAGAAGGGTGTGTTGACTGGGGCTTAAAAGTGTCTATTTTCATAAATGTAAAGCTCTAAATTTTCTTGACAGAAGCTTGAGTTATGTCACGAGTTGCGTGGAACGCGCAAACGATTCCAAGCCACCTCAGCTGCAGCTAATGGGGGACTGCCCGATTGGACAACCAAAAATAGTGTAAAAGCAACCTACAATTTTGTATTTTTTGAGCTTGGTTCCTTGGCCCATAAGTCGTGCCTGAATAGTTTTATTTCATTTCAATATAAACGGCGAGCTTCAGTTTGGGCAAATTCGCGGATTCTTTTTGAAGAAAGGAGTTGTTGACGTGCTGTGCTGTCCATCAATTGTCTGCAGCTTGAAAGAACTCATAAATGCAGTGGAGTTCACCCTAAAACTGTTCTCTACGTTGAAGTTACTCATAGTCATCGTCAACTTCAAATCTGCTGTGATTCAATTATGAATAAACTTCTGTCTATCAAAAAGTGCCAAGAACTTCTGTCTTGCTTGAATTTTGATTCACCTAGCGTCTACTAGAGTATTTTCTACTTTTTGCCGCTCGCTAACTGATTTTGAACTGAATTTTT